GCAGTGAAACTGTTATACAGTTGAATTTATTTATACCATATTCCAGTTTTTCTCAGGCGGCATATATATGCAAACTCCTTCTCTGCCAGCAGGAGGCGCTGTTGGGGTGGTAGAGATTAAGGTTTCCCCGGTAACGGCTGTACACAAAGCAGCTCCGCTCAAAAAAAAACACTGCTTTATCAGACATTACATGCAACACCCCCCAACCATTTGAATTTCCATTGGCGGAATTATTTTAATGATATTCTAATGGGCAGCTTTGTGATATCACAAAACCCGGAAAACAAACGCTGTAGTCCAAACGAGCCATTCGTTGTAGTTCTTGAAAAGGGATTTTTAAAAAAATTTCCCTTTGGAGTGGGCTTTGAGATTTGTAAGTTTGAAGATCTTTTTTATGCCCAAACATACAGACTACAAACTGAATAAATTCTAAAAGTGAAAAAGCATAATAGGACCCCTTTAATTTAGTTTCATTATGAGCATTTTCCACCCTCTCTCTTGTTGCCTTTGAAGGGATTGTTCACCCAAAAATTAAAATTTATTTACTCACAAGTTTGTCCATACAATCAAAAGCTTAAAAAATACTGAACAGTACATAATATACATGTCAATCTATCTATCTATCTATCTACATATATACAGTGGGTACGGAAAGTATTCAGACCCCCTTAAATTTTTCACTCTTTGTTATATTGCAGCCATTTGCTAAAATCATTTAAGTTAATTTTTTTTCCTCATTAATGTACACACAGCACCCCATATTGATATGTTACCCCGTGTGTGGGGTAAAAGGGCCCCCTTGCCACCTCATAAATTTATAAGATTTTTAAACAAAATAAACAACTTGTATGATTTACTTTCACACAAAATCTGTTGTTTCATAAATGTTCAATACAAACATATATATTTTTCTGCAATCATACACTTTGGGCACAGTGAAAAGCAAATTTTTTCTTAGGGTGTGCCTTTAGCCCCTTTGTACCTATATATATATATATATATAGGTACAAAGGGGCTAAAGGCACACCCACATATACAGAAAGTGTATAAACATACACTTTAAATTTACAAAATAATACAAATAAATCAAAGCAGGATAATATAATAGAAGATACGAGACGCCACTGGCTATTCCATCTTTCGGTCTGACCACACGGACCAATCCTATTCCATTAATTAAACTTGGACCCCCTGCAGAGGCAAGCAAATTGAATTTGTACTGACTCCTCAGCCCTTGGGCCTTATTATTTTTGGGATGTCTTTATGCTGACCAAGCCATTCTGTCTGCAGTTCATCTTCCTTTAAATCCATTAACCATTTACATTAACCAATACAACCCTCTTTAACTGGCCACTATCCACCAATACCGCCTCGGGTGAAGCTGGTTTTATGCCGGATTCTGCAAATAATGCCCAAAAATTCCAGTTCGACAAAGGTGGTATGAGCAGAGTAAAATGCTCACATTAAATGCCTCATCCGCAACACTTTGCGCAGACTGAATAATTCAGCAGGGTGCTTAGTCGAAATTACAGATACACAGCTTGAAAAAGAGGTCACGCAGAGGCTTGTGGGTAGGTTAGGTTATATATGAGATTTCCGGAGCTGTGGCAGTGAGTCACGACGGATCCCGCCTCCGTGGGTCAACAGAAAAGACAGAAATTAGTCTAATGCATCCCAAAAAAGGCAGCGCACAGATTCTGTGGTCCTCTCTCTTCTGAAAGTCACAGATAATTAACTCAAACCTGCAGACAAAGCATCCCACTTCCCAAGGTTGTGCATCTCCGACATCTCGCATCTCGAACTGATACGATTCGGTTTCATCATGTCGGCCCCCGAGAGATATCAGCTCACACGAGAGAGCCGTTCTCCCAGAAGCCCCTGAGCTCAGGTACCTAAGGTCATTTCAAAAGTGAGGAACCACCAATAACACAAATGAAGCTACTCACGTTTACGGATTCCCGCCCGCCGTACTTGATCCGAATCCTCGGCTCCTGTATGGCATCCAAGTTAGTCCCGGTCACCACCAGAGGCGTGTGTCCGCTTAAAAAACACACAATATGGCATGAATGGGAATAGGGTGAACGTAAAAACTTTGACACAGAAGTAACTCATCCCCACTTGAATCAAACACTGCCCTTAAAATTTGCTTCTTTGTGATGTGGTGCTTAGAAGATAATAAGCTTTTGAGAAGGTCCTGATTAAAGATGCTTCTAACTGGCTTCAGTAGATTTAATCAAACATACTAGATGCGTCTTTGAAAACACTAAAGGACCAGAAGCAGCGGTGATCCTGCTTAGCATTCTGGGAACGTCCACGGCTTGATAAAGCACAACAAAAGAGCCGAGCGTCTGGGAGTGGAATGGGTGAGGAGCTCTAGCTCTAGGTGTTTCAATTGTTTACTCTTGAGCACTTCATTAGCCAGGCGCTGCTCGTACGCTGTTCTGTTCAGTGTGGCAACGCTCTGGTACAACAGATATAGCATTGTGACCCATTTACTGATGCCCTGGCATGGGGCACTCGCCCACAAGAATGAAAAATCACATAGGAGATTCATTCAATATCTCAACTGTTGATCCTAGATGATCGAACAAGAAAGATAAAAACATCTTTCATTTTTCTGAAAATATTTTACTAGAAACACCTGAGACTAAGTCATACATGTTAACATTGTGAGGGTGTTAAAGATGAAAATTTACATTTTTGGTTGAACTATCCCTTTACATCTTCGGAGCTACGAAAGAGCAACCTTTGCGCAATACAATGTATCTTTGGTGGGCATGATAATATGTTATGTATCTATGTGTTAGATCGGGTTGAAAAGACTTTCTTTCTGCTTTTCTCTAACAGCTTGCAATGAACCTGTAACTCAGCACCACTTATATAATCATTCTCAGCACATTCTATTTCTGTCTCATTTTTACTACTGTATATAATCATGTGCAGCACTTTGACATGAATATGTTGAAGCTCTGTATTATCAGTCCAGTTCTGTTCAGTGAAATACTCAAAAATCATTCCAAGGGATAGTTCACTCAAATTATGAAATCATGATTTGTCTTTTTTTTCTTTTTTTGTCCATCAAATAGTTATTGTCAGACATGAGACATACTCTACAGACTGTGCAAATGTATTGTAAGACTTCAGCAGCAAGAAATAGTTCTTTTTTTACATCTCAGAAGTGACTTATAAAGCTTTACTTTCATAAAACCATCTACATGATCACCCCGACATGGTGTAAATCCTTTTTTTTTTCAAAGATGAAAGGATCTAGCTGAATGCAAGTCAGACATTTATTCATTTTCATGAATAACACAACAACATATGGCCTTGAGCACAGCTGTTGAACTCCATTCAGTGCATCAGATCAATTTCTTGCAGGAATGTGTCTGATATCCATTCAAATAGTGTGAGAATCAACAGCCTCAGAAGTCAAAAGTGTTTGCTAATAGTGATTTAAATGCAAGCTATATGGCCAAACTAGCTGATTTGCACAATCTAATACTAAAACACTGCATCAAATATGTAAATTTACCTCGCAATGCTCCATTCCGGTTCGATGCGTTGAACGGTGGGGTCGTCTATATACTCAAAAGTCAGGCTCTCTCGGACCTGGGCGCGATCCACACTCACGCTGATCTGAACCGGCCCCACACCCGTCAGAGAAGGGGCAGAGTAACACACGATCTCCGTCATAGTCCGTCTGAGAACAAAGCAAACAGATACAAACCAATCAGATTCTGAAAAGAGACAAAGCACGACACAAAGTTTTAACTTAATAAGAGATGGCTAGACATATTGTTCAGACACACTATATATGAATGGCGCTAGTGGGCGGCTCTTTGCTCTTTTTCAATTGCAGTCTTTTCTTACAGCTCTCATTGAAAGTGCTACCTGTGCAAAGTGAGCATTAGCCATTCCCTCTGCAGCATATTAGAGAGCATTAAGCTATTACTTATTGCACCCTCACACACACTTGCAACGGCGCCTTCCACAGGAACACAGGGCAAAATGGAAATCTGCAATTAGCTGATATCGCTCCCTTGCACCTTAAAGCACTACAATCAGCCTCATCTTTAAATTGAGATCCTGGAGAGAGAGTGAGAGGAAAAGAAGGAGATATAGGAAGACACCTGTCGGGGGTATGATATTTACATACAGAAGTATGCTACCAAAATTAGAGAGAGAGGAAGAGGAAACAGAGTTAAAAAAGGGGAAATCTAGAGGAAGTGTTTTTTGAAGGAAGTTTAAACAGGAAATAATCAGAAACTATATAAGGCATGTAGAAAGTGAAGAGTACAGTAAATGAAGATATGGAACTTTTAACATTAGCCTCCATATGCACTGTTCACACTAACCGAACAAAAATATTAATAAAGCTATATTATTAGGGGCCAAGCCCAAAGGGCTGTAGCCCCTATTGTATCTGTATGTGTTCTTTATTATTATTCTTCTTCTTCTCGTCCAATGGGAGTCTATGGCAGCCCTATGAAGGCAACATAGGAAAATTATGAAATTTGGCACACTTGTAGTGATGGCCATGAATAATGACCTGACCAACTTTGGGGTCTCTAGGACCAACTCTATAGCGCCTTGATCAATCAAAACGAAACTTGGTAAACTTCGTTACCACCATCATCTGAGGGCCCATGCCAAAGTTGGGAACAGCGCCACCTATGGGTCGTGAGATACCAAAAATTCACATTTTCACTTATAACTTTTGAACAATTAGTCAGAAAATTATGATCTTGGTGTCATTGGATTTCTTGTGTCATGCCGAATCTGTGGATGTTAATTTTGCCAGGATCGACTCAACCACCTGTCCGCCATTTTGAAATTTGACATACATTGCTCTATCTTTTGATGATCATGGTGTCTATGGATTCCTTAGGTCATGCCGAATCTGAGGATGTCAATAGTGCTTTTGTGTAAAATGCTAAGTCACGCTTTTGTGAGATCATTCTCACACCTTAACCTCTCTTCTGTGGCCTGTTGAAAGTGCGTCAACTGAGTGGCGCACTCTGCTAAGCCTCTGGCCCTGAAGCCCTAAGGTTGTTGGTTCAAATCCAGGGTGAATAATGTTGCTTCTGTTCCAGACATTCAATTTTCCGTGTGTTCGTATTGAATCAGAAGCGTGTTTTTGGTCATTCTCATCTGAACTTCTGTTCAGTTTTGAACTTCTGTACTTCTGAACCTATCTGTTCTTCTTTATGTATGTTCCATTTCTGCCGTTTTTGCTCTTCCCGCTCTGCGCTGCGCTACAGCCCTTCTCGGGCTTGGCCCCGGAATCGCTGCTTGCAGCTATATTTAATTATTATTATTGTATTATATTATTACTGAAGATTTATTTTTGAGAAGCTACATTTCTTAAAATAGGGATTTCAAACAGTATTCAAAAAGGCTGATTCTTACTCATAAAACTCGCAGGTCTGGTTCCCAAAAAGCACACTGACGGTGCTGCCTGCTCCCAGGTTTTCCCCCATTATGGTCACTTTAGTTCCTCCAGACTCTGGACCCCGACTGGGGGACAATCCTGTGACCGATGGCATCTGCAAAGACAGAAAGAGAAGATGGATAGGAAACAAGCAAGCGATGGAGACCTCAAGTCCAAGATGCAGTGTTTTGTTTTTTTTGAATGTCAAATAATCTTCTTCCATCTTCCGTTCCAACTGTGCGGCTCAGTATTGAGTATTATATATCACTATTATTTAATTTTTATTTACATACTCTACCAAAAGTTTAGGTTTGGTAAAATGTTTTAATTGTTTTGACATTTTTTTATGCTCACCAAATCTGCATTAATTTGATCAAAAATACAGTAAATAATATATACTAATATTGTGAAATATTATAATTAAAAATAGTTTTCCAATTCAATATATATTATAAAATGTTATTTATTTCTGTGATGGCAAAGCTGAACTTTAGCATCATTACTCCAGTCTACAGTGACACAAGAAACATTTCTTATTATTAAGAATGTTGAAAACAGTTGTGCTGCATAATCTTTTAAGTCTTAAAGTGCCCCTATTATGGATTATGAAAGGTGCATATTTTGGTTTTGGGTGTCCCCAACAATAGGTTGACATGCATGCAAGGTCAAAAAACACTTTCATTGTCTTATAATATGCATTTATTTTGACCTCATTTGCTTAACGACTCCCAATGATTCGCTCAACGATTTCTTTTTCCAAACCCCTCCTTTGCGTGACGCTAATCTGCGGTGATTGGTCCGATGAATTATTATTATTGTATTATATTATTACTGAAGATTTATTTTTGAGAAGCTACATTTCTTAAAATGGGGATTTCAAACAGTATTCAAAAAGGCTGATTCTTACTCATAAAACTCGCAGGTCTGGTTCCCAAAAAGCACACTGACGGTGCTGCCTGCTCCCAGGTTTTCCCCCATTATGGTCACTTTAGTTCCTCCAGACTCTGGACCCCGACTGGGGGACAATCCTGTGACCGATGGCATCTGCAAAGACAGAAAGAGAAGATGGATAGGAAACAAGCAAGCGATGGAGACCTCAAGTCCAAGATGCAGTGTTTTGTTTTTTTTGAATGTCAAATAATCTTCTTCCATCTTCCGTTCCAACTGTGCGGCTCAGTATTGAGTATTATATATCACTATTATTTAATTTTTATTTACATACTCTACCAAAAGTTTAGGTTTGGTAAAATGTTTTAATTGTTTTGACATTTTTTTATGCTCACCAAATCTGCATTAATTTGATCAAAAATACAGTAAATAATATATACTAATATTGTGAAATATTATAATTAAAAATAGTTTTCCAATTCAATATATATTATAAAATGTTATTTATTTCTGTGATGGCAAAGCTGAACTTTAGCATCATTACTCCAGTCTACAGTGACACAAGAAACATTTCTTATTATTAAGAATGTTGAAAACAGTTGTGCTGCATAATCTTTTAAGTCTTAAAGTGCCCCTATTATGGATTATGAAAGGTGCATATTTTGGTTTTGGGTGTCCCCAACAATAGGTTGACATGCATGCAAGGTCAAAAAACACTTTCATTGTCTTATAATATGCATTTATTTTGACCTCATTTGCTTAACGACTCCCAATGATTCGCTCAACGATTTCTTTTTCCAAACCCCTCCTTTGCGTGACGCTAATCTGCGGTGATTGGTCCGATGACCCAGCGAACACAACACACAAAACTAAATACGTATTTTGCATGCTACAGAGAACATGAGAGCAACCATTTTTAATCATACTTATAGGTTGTGATTCGGAGGAAGAATCTGGTCCAAATAAACTGGGTACTGATCCTTCCTTCATTAACAACCGGCCTGCGAATCCCGCGCATTTATGCATTTAGGTTGCTGTAGCAGTCGTCAGTAAAATGACGGGGTCACAACACAAGGTTGGTGCTATACTGCTGTAAAAATGAACTTTAACCATTGATTCTTCACAGCCTCGTCCTTTGGCAGTAAAAAAACGGATTTACCCTCACAGTGCAGAGCACAGCGTCAGTGTTTGAGGGAGGGGGGGTTCAAGTTTTCACGTGGGCGGGCAATATGCTAATGTTTCATGTTGACGTCAACATGAAACGGCGTGGGATTCGTTTTAAAAACGACTCGTTCAAATAACTCAGAGTCGACTCTTTCTTTTGAGATACAATAATTTTATACACAGTGCACTTTCAGATTTAAAACTTTGCAGGATGTTTTCATTCACTTAAGAGCTGTGATACACACTGCATGAAGGGTAATTTTCAAAAATCCATAATAGGGCACTTTAAAATGTATATACTGTCCATTATAATCAATTTAATACATCATTTCTGAATAAAAGCATTAATTTCTTAAAAAAAAAAACAAGCACATACTGTAATATAAATATAATAAAACATTTAATTATTTAATTAATTCCGTAAAGTGTCACTAGAAGCACAGACATGACATGTTTTGAATCTGAAGCTGCCTAGATGTGGGTGGCTGTTCCACAAAAGACAGCTACATCTGTAAATAACAACTGTCCTTCATAAACCTCATACGCCTTCTGCTCAGCTCACAAATAAAGAGCGAACGCTACAAAAGAAATGCCATTTCCAGTCTTGTCTAAGTGATGCGAGCTCATGAAAACCACGTCTGAGGATAAATAAAAGGCTTTTAAAATGTTGTACATAAACTCCCTAGTTCCCAATTCTCTTCCTTTATTGTACGCAGGGACTGAAAATAGCAGATGGAGAAACACAGAAACAGACAGCTCTGTGTCTTAAGAAAGCTTGTGACCGACTTCACATGTGCATTGACTAAAAATGAATTAACACCAATTTTGGTCTCGCCTCGTATTGTTCTACAACTGGTGGGCCGCTCGGGGACCCCGTGTTGTCCGACAACATTTGGTGGCAGAGCTTTTCAGATAACATGCTGCTTTTATATTTGACTGCGATATGAAAGGCATGCAGGAAAATCACACGCACGCTCACACAAACATGCATAAACGCATACAGGAAGGGGCTGAAGCGTATATTGTAAATAAACAGCTCCCTTAATTAGCAGAGGCTGTTAATTGTGGTGGTATGGATAATTGTTGGCCTTAGTGTGCGTGTGAATGCTGCTGTTGATTATCTATTAACCCCAGGCTGGCGGATGGGTGTTTCAGACAGGTGCGCAAGAGTTCCCACAGGTGCTCCTCTGCGACGAGACAACATGGCAACCATCCTTCCTTTGATTCACTTAATGGCTTTTATTGTCTCCATGTTCAATGTGCGCTCCCGGTGGTGCTTCGTGTTCATAATCACTCAATTTTTTAATAACCGAGAACAAGTTCTATTATGCTGACGAGAGCTTCGCTTCTTAACGGAGGAAGCGGGGCTGCTGTTTTACCAATAATAATGACAAACGCAGCGGCAATCTGTAAATTAGCAAGTTTTTACGGCATATCTCGAGTCTTTTGTGCTTGATGAGTGCATTAGTTCAATAAACACGCTTTTCTTTTAATGCCTTGGCAAATACACGTGCAAATAATGCTATTAACCACTAATCCTCAACATCATTTAAGAATCTACTGAAAGTGCACAAAAATACTACTTTAAAAAGGACTAAATAGAACAATTAGCTGATAAAAATGCCATGCGAGCCATAAAAAGGTTAATTTATCGACCTTATGGCTTTTAATGACTCTAAATTTGCATGGAGAGACTGTTCCAACACATTAATGGAGTGATTTCTACATAGCTGTCTGGACAGATACAAACAATCCTGCTACTAAAATGTAAATATATTATAAATATAGTACTGGTTTGCATCAAATTTGCTTACACAAACAAAAAAAAAAATGAAGAGTATGAGGTTGTATATAGTCTAGGACATGTTCTATTACAGTACAATGTGATTATTTGAGAAAAGGAGGAGTTTTCAAACTCGAAAAGGGAGAAAAAAATACAATGTATTTTTAGTGCTGTCAAACTCAAATTCAATAAAGTATGTGTAGTGCAATCAATTTCTTAATGCATTTACTGAGTATTTGACAATATTACCATATGATTTTTTATTCTGCTCTTCAAAATTGAGAATTGAGATTAACTGCAAATCTGTATTTAGTTTTGTGAGGAAAAATATTAAGCATGATATTATAGTGTCAGAACACACAGACCCACAGTGTACATTCATATATGTAATATATACAGGTACTAATTTAATTGATATACAGTGTGTGTATATATATATATATATATATATATATATATTTAAAATGGATGACTGATGAAGATATGGACTTCATGCCATATGAATCGGTGCAGAAGGAAGTCTTTGTTCCTAAAGAGTAGCTATTTGAACAGTTGGAAGTACAGTATGTTGAGCTCTGAGTCACTTCCTGTGATTTGACATTTTCACAGTTAAAGCGTTTCTGAGAACAAAGCAACCTCAGCAAGGTTCACCTGTCCAAAGGCATAACGTCACAGTGACCCGTAAGTTCTCTTCAATGGACCAAGTAAAGCTCAGTTTAATAAAACCAAAACAATGGCCAGGTTCACCACTACCTCACTGCATTATTCAGATGTAGCAGAGCTCAAGGTCTTACCACAAAGGAATAGAGTTGAGAAGAGCGCGTCTGGAGCTCCGGCTTACACTCCCCTACACACAAATGAACCGGGCCGGGTTTACTGTCAGTGGGAGCTGCATCCATCTCACACACAATCCTGAAAAAGAAGAAAAACACAATTAAGTTAAATTTTTAACCTTGGTTTAAATGAAAGTTGCCTAAATGGATGGATATCACCGCCTCATAATTTCTGTACAAGGAGATCCAGGTTCACTGGATTACAAAGCATAATGTTTCTGGACTGACTCCAGAGTGAGGAACCAAAGCATTGGAAGTCATCTCCAGTCCTGCTGAGTGATCAGTATGCGACTCTTCCTCTCTCTCTAAATTGATTTCCTCTTGATCTCAATGTAGGTTTTGCTTTGGTTCCTTGATTGCTTTAGCGCACACATTCCATTAGCTGAATTGACAAGATCACCCTACGGGAATGCCGATGCATAGACACGCCATGCTTTTGAAGCAACAAAACCATATGTTCCAGCAGGTTCTACACTGCGTATGAGTGTTCTTTTGGGAAAGAACTTCTTTAACTTCTTTTTTTCCATACTGGTTTATTTACACTAACCTAGTAGTCCAATAGTGGACATATACATCTCAAACATCTCAAGTCATCTTTATAATTTTCCTTTTCTTAAATTGTAATTTCCACCATGGAAATGGCGGACTTGTTTGGCTTTTTACTGTATGGCTAATGTTATGCATCCTAAATATACAAATACTATTTTCACACGATTTAACAAAATTATAACTTGCAAATGTCAAACAATAAAAATATTTTGCTCACAAGTAACATTTGCCTTGATTTTTTCTTTTGTTTTCTACACATCACAAGTCTCTTATTTAATCTCAAACTCTTCATTGACACTGTTTTCACACTAGAATTTAAAAAAGAAAGAAATTGGAGCAAAATTGTTTAACATGGTGGAAATGACACAACTAAGGGAGCTGTATTATTTTACTTTATTTAATACAGCTTATCTTGCTCTTTATTTATTTTATTATTTATTTATTATTGATCACAGTTTTACACACACACACACACACACGCACACACACACATATATATACACACACAGGTGCATCTCAATAAATTAGAATGTCGTGGAAAAGTTCATTTATTTCAG